AAATCCTGGAAAGCTGTTGTTTTTGAAAAGGACTACTATGACATCCAGGTGACATCCAGGGGACAACAAAATCCAGGTAGGAATTTGTCCAATGAGCTTGCTATTTTTCTGACATCTATATAACTAAAAAGGTTTGATGACTTCAGGCCTTCCTCCACCGAAAGATTCAATTCACCATCAAAGTGTGAATTACTTCTCAGAAAAATGATGAATATATCAGTATAAGTTGAATGTAAGGCAATATTCACATATCCACCTTTTCATTGGAAATTCAACATGAGCCATACTTTCACTGGATACCCAGATATTCTTCTGGTTCGCTTAGATTTTCCCTTTGAAATGTGTATGTCACTGCATTATTTTATAAGAATGTATCTTACAATCCACTCAGACATTGGAAGACTCTGTCCTAAGATATGCAGAAGTACATTGGATCAATCAATCTTCAGCTTATGGGAGATGGTTCCTGAGTACAGATTTTCTTTGAGGCAGATCTCCAGAGAAGTGATTACTTACTTTTTTTAGCATGTATTTTTTGTATTTGGTTGACACAAAACAAGAGGCACTGACACCAGTGGATAAGATAACTCTCCTGACATTTATTCTTGTTATAGTAGTATTAATGGTAGGCACAAAAGTAGTTTTATTAAGTATCTTTTTACCTTGGATTCAACTACCTTTCCATCATATTTATTTTGCTTCTGAATGCTGCTTCCTCTGCCTATTTTACACCTTGTAATTGGTTTGGGGAAAACACAATGGTTTCTCGTAGCACAGCTCAATAAAGTTGTCATGAGTTTCATTTCTAATATGGAATATAACAAAAACAGCTGTATGGATGCAGCTTCCCCAGAATGGATGCTGCAAAGCAGTGAAGGTTTGATTTTGCACTTAACAGATTTAGACTTTTGTCAGTCATTCTAATAATGGTGTCCCATGGTGCATAATCTTTTCTTATGTTGGCAGGTGGCAGTTCAGCAGCAACGTCTTCCTGCTTGTGGAAGAGACTCATTGTAAGCATGGCTCACTATACTTAGCCTTATGAAATGGCATCATGCCAGTGTTTGTCTGGCAGCTACTGAGTTTGTTAAGTGTTAAAATTCCTGTTAGACAATCTGGAGCATTACCCCTGACTATCACATCAACAGAAGATATTGAGAACCCATTTCCTTTTCAAAGTACTGAGCGATACCTTTGCATAAATGAATTCATAATGCAAAATGTCTCCTCCCTAAATAAAGGTCATATTGTTCTCTCACTCACCTAACTCGGTTTTCCACCTTGTGCCTTAATGACATTTCATCATACTTAGTTTCTCAGCCAAATCTTACTTTTTGTTAGTTGAAAGACAATTCACATAATGAGACTCAACTATTTCAGAAGAGCTGTAACAACTGGAATGAAATCATTATATTCCAATAGCTTTGATTTTTAAAAAGGCTATGGTTTAACTTGGTGCCAGAATGAAATTAGTATTCGCCCTCATTTCACAAGAAAGGGGGCAATAGCAGAAAATACCTCCAACCATGCTCTCCTGAAATGTGTCTCCATTAGTAGGACACAGAAGAGGGTCATTTCATCAGATATATAGGGGGAGCAAACAAGCTGGGGGTGGGGGCAATGCAGGCAAGTGGGCAAGTAGAGGGCAAATGAGTGGGTGGAGAAGTGGGGGGTGGACGGATGGGCAAGTGAGCGGGCATGCTTGGCATAGGTTTGCTACCACTGTCCTACACCATTTAGGGTTTTAAATGTCATTACCAGTACCAGAATTTAGATTAGAGGCATATTATTAGCTTTAAAAATTGTCAGTCAGAACAGTTCCTTTAAAATTATTTTAAGTGGCATTGGGAAAGAACTGATTTCTAAACATACATGATTTTCATGTTGGAGAAGCTATCCATTAAGGCTGCAGCCAAACAGCCACTTAGAAGCGCAAGCACCCATGTTTTTCCATGGAGCATCTGGACACCTCAGGTAAAAACAAATTAATTCACGACAAAGCAGGAACATCCTGCTTTGTCCCAAGGTTATTTGTTAGATGGAAAGACCTGGGTCTTTCAGAAGACCCATGTCTTTTCAGCTTCAGGCACTGTGTAGATGGGGACTGGGAATCCCGCTGTGTGACTTCTGGTGCCCATCTACATAACTGTCTCAGGTTTCTTGGGGTCCTGGATCCCAAGAAACCAAAGACAACCCCCACCCACTCCCAAAACCCCTTTAAAAACCTTCAAAAAAGAAAAGAACTTTCCTAGCCACCATTCCCCCTTCTCCAGAGCTCTCCTGGTATGTAGAAATGATGTGCCAGGAGAAAGGAGGGGGTAAGAGGAAAATTGCTCCTGGCCCCCCATTCTCCTGGCACATCATTTCTAAATGTCAGGAGAGCTCCAGAGAAGGAGGAATGGCTGACAGGTAAGTTATTTTCTTTTTTAAAGGCTTTTCTGAAAGGGTTAGTTTTGTAACCCAGTGCCCTGCTGGAAAGCCCAGCAGGACATGTGGACGCCCCTCCCCCCTCCAAAAAAAAGCACACACTTTCTGGGGCATGTGCAAACTTCAGCCCAGGTGCAGTCGCGTTTTTAAAACCCAATTGCCCCCCGAATAAATTGCTGACTGGAATTGCCTTAAAATAAAGGTTTCCCAGTTTCATGTTACACTGGAATGAGTAGGGAGAATGGAGAAAATTCTGTGAAAATTGCCATGGGATCAACAGTGTCTACGCACACGTGTCTATCAACCAAGGCAAATCCCTATTATAGTTGATAACATGGTTGATAATTTCACTCCTGGATTACCTGCAGATCATAAAGATGCATATATTGCTTTCATTATTCTTCCTCCAGCACAGTTGTAGTTAGGACAGTGTCCAAGATCATGAAAAAAAATCAAATAGCTTCCTAAAGCTAATGATACTTTTAACTGCAACTCCAAGATGGAGATGTTCTAATGGTTTCAGTGGTCATTTGTTTTAGCAGACATAATATTTTGGTGAAACTGTGCTGTGTGCCTATTACTTCATAGCAATCTTGCTGCCAGGGGACTCCTTGGGCCCTTCTCTGATGACTGCTGATAACTATGTAGGCCTCTTTCCAAAATAGGTTCCCCAAAGAATGCTACCAATAGCTTTCTAGAGACGCAACAGTAATGCAAGATATGCATTACTTAAGGCAGCCCTAAGATCCCATGGTACAGGTTTGGATATGAATATTTTATAGAGTAAATAAATAATTACATACAGCGGAAAACATTAAGGCTTAAATAATATGAAATGATCTGACTGGGGACAAGCCTCAGGTAAAAAGAATCAAAGACTATTTTAATAGAGAGAGAACTGTACATCCTTAAACCATTTTGTATACACCTTAAATAATATCTAGGCACTCAAAGATTGTTATGGAGTTTCCCATAAGACTCACAATTTTGCCACATCTTTTGTAAACTGTTTACTCGGGCCGAAACTATTGTGTTTGTGACGTAATTGTTTTGACATAGATTCTAGGATTATAATGCTTCCTACAGATGGATGGATGGATAAACGACATTCTAAATTGCTTATGCTGATGAAGCTGTTTAAAGGTGGCGTAATATTCCATATTACAGCATATGCTGTTTTCTAGAATTTTTTATGTCTTAAGAGGTATACCTTTTTTACAACAGCAATATTAAAGTAATAAAGTTAGCAGGCTAGGCGGAATCTCAGAGGCAAATTTTCCTTCGCTACAACTGTTGTTGTTTTGTTCAAAAACTGACACATCTTTGTTTCATAAGGGAAAAGAACATCTTTATTCAGTATACTTGGACTATAAGCAGTACTGACTGCACATGAACTTAAATATATTCTGTGTACTTCTTTAGATCTGTGTCAGTGAAAAATTTTCACTTACAAAATTGTCTTCATCCGTGGTTATACATGGATGTAAATTTGTCTAGATGGTCCTAGTAAGTGACCAAATTGAAACTGAAATCGAAGAGTTGCTATTTTAAGCTATCATCAAATTCTGAGCATGCTGTACATTGGAATTCAGCTTTAGATGGTTATCCATAGACAAGTCTTCTTAAATCTACCTATACATAAAACTTCTATGGAAATTGGGATTTGGGGACAATCACTCAAGGTGAAAAAGGCAAAGTTCAACTCCCATCAGTTCTAGTCAGCATAGCCATGGTGAAGTAAAGTGGAAGCTGCAGTTCACTAACATCTAGAGCAGTGGTTCTCAACCTGTGAGTCCCCAGATGTTTTGGCCTTCAGAAATCTTAACAGCTGGTAAACTGGCTGGGATTTTTGGGAGCTATAGGCCAAAACACCTGGGGACCCACAGGTTGAGAATCACTAATCTAGACAATGACATATTCCCATCCCAAGCTGAGGATTTGTATTCCCAAACCCCTTCTACACTGCCCTATATCCCAGGATCTGATCCCAGATTATCTGCTTTAAACTGTATTATATGAGTCCCCACTATGAGGTAACCTGGGATAAAAAGATAATCTGGGATCAGATCCTGAGATATAGGGACCTAAGATACCAAGAACCCTTAGAAGCACATAAAATGACATAGAGATCAATTCTGAATTGCAAGTTATTATGATAACATATCCCCCTAAGGAGATGTTGATTTACAGTTTAAAAAGAAAGAATTTCCTGTCACTATCACCTTTATCAGAACCAAATCTTTCATACAGTCAATGATGCTTACCCATCAATATCCAAACACATCAAAATAACTCATGTTGATACATTGTTGTTGGCAAAATCCATTTCCCTTCCAACTACAGTGGGGATTACATAAAAGGAACAAGAGAGTCCAAAGAACGGTGGAGTGCCACATGCTGTCATAGTTCTTCCTAATCAAAACATCCTGGTGCTTCAACTGCGTGAGCACTGGTTCCACCACACCACTACAATTATCATTATAAAAGAAGCCCATTATATCACCAGGTAGAGATTAACAGTAATCATAAAATAAGTCCAAAACCTAAGTAAAATAAGCCCGGTTTTAACTTACCCCTTAGTGCAGGTAGCAGAGACCGCTCTTTCTTGTCATCACACTTGTTACATTCACTGAAGTACAAGAGCAGAAAGACATCCACCAGCACCCACATCAAGGAAGTGGCAAGAACCACTTTGCAGTAGACAAATCTCCTCATTCTTTAGTTAGTTTTTAGTTACACGCTGTACTAAAGGCAGGTGTTGTTTCGATGATGGGTCCAATCCAATGATGCCAGCATGGGCGCAAAGGTGAGAACATCCCACTGAAAATTAAAGAGAAGGGAAGAGTGGAATTAATTCTCAACAACAAAAACAAAATCTGACCTCCATTTATATTACTATCTCTCTTTTTGGTAAATTAATAACTACAATATGCACAAAAATAAGAACAAAACACAAACTTTATTTTGTGCATAAAATTACAAGAAAAATTCTGTGTAAATTACCTTATGACTATGTGTATAAATTAATTTTGCATTTAGAATTGGGTTCCATCTCTAATATAACTATCTATCTATCTATCTATCTATATACAGGGTTAGTCAAAATGAATAGGCCAATAAGAAAATTAATTTTAGACGAATGTATGTTTACTGTAACCAAACCACAGCTACGTAGCGACAGATAAACTATCAAAGTTTTTTTTTGAGCAACACACATGTACGTTAATGCCGCTAGGCGTCGCTAGGGGTCGCTGTTTTCAAAATGGCGGAATCAAGCAAAGAGAAGGCGTTTTGTGTGATGACATTTGCTAAAACAATGTCAGTAATTACGGTCCAGCGAGAATTTCAAGGGTTAGGGTTAGGGTTAGGGTTAGGGTTAGGGATAGGGATAGGGTTAGGGTTAGGGTTAGGGATAGGGATAGGGTTAGGGTTAGGGTTAGGGTTAGGGTTAGGGTTAGGGTTAGGGTTAGGACCTCAACGAACACCTTCCCAGACGTTGCTGCATTCGATGCCATTACGTCGGATGTGCTGCAACGGATGTGGAATGAACTGGACTATCGCTTGGACATCTGCCGTGTCACACGGGGCGCCCATATCGAACATCTCTGAAGGTGAGACAAAACTTTGATAGTTTATCTGTCGCTACGTAGCTGTAGTTTGGTTACAATAAACATACATTCGTCTAAAATTAATTTTCTTATTGGCCTATTCATTTTGACTAACCCTGTATATATATATGCGCACATATTTCAAAATCTGAAGAAGAAAAACAAAATATGGAATACACTGGCCCCCAAGCATTTCATATCAAGGATACTCTAGCTGGGCTTGCAATGTGAAATCTAGCTGATCATTTGCAAGCAGGCAGATGTGACATATCAACACAGAGGGCGGGAATTGTGTTGGGTTTCCTTCAATGACTATAGTGTCAAACTATATTAATTCTACAATGTAGATGCACCCGAGGTGTTGGTGATTCACTTGTGCATTCAGAGAGATTGATCTCTAAAGGACTCCAATGACTGGGCTTTTTTCTGCCCCAATATTTCTTTCTGTTGATCACCATATGCCTGAATGGATCAGTTCATATCAGTCAATTTGGAAGCATGCTTCCCCTTTTCAATAGAAAGTACAAGGTGGGGCATAAAGATGGCTCTCAATTTGAAGAGATATAAAAATGAATAAACCTTTCTAGAAATAAATTGTATATAATTCTGAAAAGTACATAAAACTGTTTTGTTTTAATAGGTTTTAAAAATCATATCAGACAAATGGTAGCTGTAATAAGAGGGGAATCTACCACGTAGAGAGGATCACCATTAGTTGGAAGATCCCACCACTGTGTCACCAATTGTAATGGATTATTATTTAAATATTCGATTACTATGTTTGGAAGCTGTAGAGACTTTGTCACCCACACGATATTCTGAGGAAAACTTAGAATCATAGAATCATAGAATCATAGAATCAAAGAGTTGGAAGAGACCTCATGGGCCATCCAGTCCAACCCCCTGCCCAGAAGCAGGAATATTGCATTCAAATCACCCCTGACAGATGGCCATCCAGCCTCTGTTTAAAAGCTTCCAAAGAAGGAGCCTCCACCACACTCCGGGGCAGAGAGTTCCACTGCTGAACGGCTCTCACAGTCAGGAAGTTCTTCCTCATGTTCAGATGGAATCTCCTCTCCTGTAGCCCAAAGCCATTGTTCCGCGTCCTATTCTCCAGCGAAGCAGAAAACAAGCTTGCTCCCTCCTCCCTGTGGCTTCCTCTCACATATTTATACATGGCTATCATATCTCCTCTCAGCCTTCTCTTCTTCAGGCTAAACATGCCCAGCTCTTAAGCCGCTCCTCATAGGGCTTGTCATTCCAGCTTGTCAATATCTCTCTCCTCTGGACACATTCCAGCTTGCCAATATCTCTCTTGAATTGTGGTGCCCAGAATTGGACACAATATTCCAGATGTGGTCTAACCAAAGCAGAATAGAGGGGTAGCATTACTTCCTTAGATCTAGACACTATGCTCCTATTGATGCAGGCCAAAATCCCATTGGCTTTTTTTGCCGCCACATCACATTATTTGCTCATGTTTAACTTGTTGTCCACGAGGACTCCAAGATCTTTTTCACACGTACTGCTCTCGAGCCAGGCATCCCCCATTCTGTATCTTTGCATTTCTTTTTTTCTGCCTAAGTGGAGTCTCTTGCATTTGTCACTGTTGAACTTCATTTTGTTAGTTTTGGCCCATCTCTCTAATCTGTTAAGATCGTTTTGAATTCTGCTCCTGTCCTCTGGAGTATTGGCTATCCCTCCCAATTTGGTGTCGTCTGCAAACTTGATGATCAGGCCTTCTAGCCCTTCATCTAAGTCATTAATAAAGATGTTGAACAGGACCGGGCCCAGGACGGAACCCTGCGGCACTCCACTTGTCACTTCTTTCCAAGATGAAGAGGAAGCATTAGTGAGCACTCTCTGTTCGTCCACTTAACCAATTACAGATCCACCTCACCGTAGTTTTGCCTAGCCCACATTGGACTAGTTTCCTTGCCAGAAGGTCATGGGGGACCTTGTCGAAGGCCTTACTGAAATCCAGGTACGCTACATCCACGGCATTCCCCGCATCTACCCAGCTTGTAGCTCTATCAAAGAAAGAGATCAGATTAGTCTGGCATGACTTGTTTTTGATAAATCCATGTTGACTATTAGCGATGACTGCATTTGTTTCTAAGTGTTTGCAGACCGCTTCCTTAACAATCTTTTCCAGAATCTTGCCCGGTATCGACGTGAGGCTGACCGGACGGTAGTTGTTTGGGTCATCCTTTTTTCCCTTCTTTAAGATTGGGACCACATTGGCCCTCCTCCAATCTGCTGGAACTTCTCCCGTTCTCCAAGAACTCTCAAAGATGGTTGCCAATGGTTCCGAAATGACTTCCTCTAGTTCCTTCAATACTCTGGGGTGTAGTTGATCTGGCCCTGGGGACTTGAACTCATTAAGAGCGGCCAGGTATTCCTGGACGACTTCTTTCCCAATTTGGGGTTGGATGTCCTCCAATCCCTCATCCACTCCATCTTGCTGAGGTTGAAGACTCTCTTTTTGTGAGAAGACCGAGGCAAAGAAGGCATTAAGTAGTTCTGCCTTTTCCCTATCCCCTGTCAGCATTGCCCCATCTTCTCCTCGAAGAGGTCCTATCGCCTCCTTGTTTTTCCTTTTTCTACTGACATAAGAATAGAAGCCCTTTTTATTGTTTTTAATGTCCCTGGCAAGTCTGAGCTCGTTTTTTGCTTTAGCCTTGCGGACCTTTTCCCTTCAGGTGTTGGCTATTTGTTTGAATTCTTCTTTGGTGATTTCTCCCTTTTTCCACTTCTTGTGCATGTCTCTTTTGTGTCTTAGCACAGTTAGAAGTTCTTTGGACATCCATTCTGGCTTCTTTGCACTTGTCCTATTTTTTCTCTTTGTTGGCACAGTTTGCAATTGCGCCTTGAGTATTTCACTCTTGAGAAATTCCCATCCATCCGTAACTCCCTTGTCTTTTAGTATCTGTGTCCACGGAATGCTGCTCAGCGTTTCCTTCATTTTTTGGAAATCAGCTCTCCTAAAGTCCAAAATGCGGGTTTGACTTGTCTTAGTTTCGGCCTTCCTTTGTACCTCAAATTGCAGGAGCACATGGTCACTTGCCCCTAAGGATCCTACCACTTCGACCGCATCGATCAGGTCCTCCGCATTTGTTAGGATGAGATCAAGAGTAGCCAATCCCCTTGTTGCCTCTTCTACCTTCTGGACCATGAAATTGTCTGCAAGGCAAGCGAGGAATTTGTTGGACCTTGTACTCTTGGCCGAGTTTGTTTTCCAGCAAATATCGGGATAGTTGAAATCGCCCATGACTACTACATCTCTTCTCTGTGCCTGTTTGGTCAACTGTTGGCAGAAGACTTCATCAAGTTCTTCCTCCTGGCTTGGGGGTCTGTAGTAGACGCCTACAACGACATCTTTTTGAGTCCCAGTTCCCTTGATTCTTATCCAGATGATTTCAAGCTGGTTTCCCAGATTGCTGTCTTGAATCTCTTCTGCAGCATAAGAGTTTTTGACATATAAGGCTACTCCGCCTCCTCTCCCCTTTGTTCGGTTTCTGTGAAAGAGGTTATACCCCTCGATATCTACATTCCAGCGATAGGAGTCATCCCACCAGGTTTCAGTGATCCCTATGATATCATATTTGTGGTGTTGTGCTAAAAGTTGGAGTTCGTCTTGTTTATTTCCCATGCTCTGTGCATTAGTGTAAAGACATGTGAGCCCCTGGGATCTTCCCTTGAGCTGTTTAATTGGGATTATTGTGCTTTTGGTACTTGGTCCTTGTTGTGTTTGTGCAGCCCTCCGTTTAGCCTTCTGGCGATTCCCAGACATTATGGGTAAAGTAGTGTTCGCAAGGCTGTTGTCCCCCTCCCCCGGTGGACCTAGTTTAAAATGCGTCTAATGAGGTTTGCGAGTCTGTGAGCAAAAAGGTGTTTTCCTACTTGTGTGAGATGCACCCCATCCCTTGCCAGTAGGCCATCCTCCTGGAAAAGCAGGCCATGGTCGAGGAAGCCAAAGCGTTCCTCCTGACACCATTTTCTAAGCCAGTTATTGACCTGTACTATTTTTCTGGCCCTTGTGGGTCCGTGTCTTACAACAGGGAGGAGGGATGAAAAGACCACCTGTACATTACATTCTTTTAGCTTTGCTCCTAGAGCTCGAAAATCATTTGTGATCTTTTGAAACGTATGCCTTGCAGTATCATTGGTTCCTACATGAATCAACATGAGGGGAGGACGGTGATAGGGCTT